CACAATGGCCCTCTGGTTTTAAAAGACCTCAAAGTGTAAAAATGGCCTTCGTATTTTCATGAGGCCTTGCTGTGTCACAATAGTCTCATTGATTCTGCACTATAAGAATCCCGCCTTGGTCCCTCGGAGCTCCACACTGTCCCTATGGTTCCCTTGGTTCCATGAGGGCCTGCAGTGCCACAATGCTCTTTTGGTTCCACAAGGCCCCATGTGCAATAATGGTCTCCATGATTCCATGAGGCGACATAAACTGTGCAAAATTAAGAAAGAAGAGGCTGAGAAACACAATACCAAGACCACAAGAACTAGATAACAGAAGGCTGTGAGCCACCTGGACTGTAACCAGTCACATACTACAGTGTCACAATGGTCCCTTGGTTCCAATGGGTTCCGAAGGGTCATAATGTTCTCCGTGGCTCTATGAGGCCCTGCAATATTCCAATGGGCCCCTGGTTCCAAAGGGGCCCAGCAGTGTCACAAGGCTGCCTTACTTCCTTCCACAAGGTCCTGCAGTGTTGTGGTGGCCCCTTGGTTCCATGAGGCAAAGCAGAATCAGAATGGCCCCTTGGTTCCATAGAGTACCATCATGGAGTTTCACCATGGTCCCATTGGTTCCACAAGGCCCAGCAGTGTAACAATGGACCTTTGGTTCCATGATGATCCTCAGTGTCTCCATGGCCCCTTGGCTCCATGTGGCCCTGCTGTGTCAGAGTGGCAGGGGGGTCCATGAGGCCCCAGAATGTCAAAATGGTTTCCTTGGTGCTGGGAAGCCCTACAGAGCCACAGGGGACCCTTGGTTCCAGGAGGCCTTGCTGTGTCACAATGGACTTTTGGTTCCAGGAGCTTTTGCACTGTCAACAATGGTCTGAGTTCCACAGTGTCACCATGGATCCTTTGTTCCATGAGGTTCCAGAGCATAACAAGATCCCCTTGATTCCAGACGGCTCTGCAGTGTCCCAATGGACCACTGTTTCCATGCTGCTCCACACTGTCACAATGATCCCATATTGTGGGAACTCAGCACATCACTCCGGATGTCCAGAGCTACCGAGACAACCCCTGGGGGGCTCAGAAGTCCTGGAATGTTGCCAAAAGTGTCTGGTGGCTTGACTTTGACCCTTTTATGGATGTGTCATCTGTGTATGAGGAGATGAGAGATCTTCAAGTTTGAATGGTGAAGGGATGATATTCACCCAGTGAATAATGATTTTAATGCACTGTACAGGGGGGTTTTGAGTGTTGTACAGGGGGGTTTGGAATCCTGTACATGGGGGTCAGGAGTGCTATTGCCAGCCACTACCCACTGGGCAGAAGCCCAGCAGGGAGTGCCAGAAGCTGGGATAGCTCAGCGGGAGCTCAGGCAACCTAGGCAAGCTATAGTGATTTTCAGCTCTCAGTGATTATCATCTCTTTAGCTTGCTAGGTGCTGCAGCACCAGACATAGGGAGAGAGAGGAGAAGCACTGTATGAGGTTCCGCAGGATCCTTTATTCTTCAGGTGTTCCGCGAAGGTTCCCAGGGACATCTCTTCTGCTGAACCAGGCAGAATCAGGGTTTTTTATACCTTACAAGGGTTTTGAAAACTGTCCAATAGTAAGGGTCAGGGGAAAGTGACCTATGGACTTACAGGGAGATAAGCAGGGTCCGAAGGAGGAAGAGAGAGGCTGCTAGGGTCCAGTCATGCTGGCTTGGCATTTCCTAGCTCTTAGGCCTCTGACCACCAACTCATCAGTGCCTCCAGTGTTCTGCTCTAACTGGAACCTGGGGACACTTTCTCAGTCGTGTCTCTCAGTGGGACCCATTAAAACTTCAGGAAACTTGCGAGTTTCAATCTGACTTTGAGTTTCCAGAAGTTTTTTGAAGACTCTCAGGGACTGAGTCTGATGTAAACAGCACCAAAAGCCCTGAGAGGCTCATTAAAGTTTTCCTAGTCCAGTGACAGAGAAAAATTTCTAAGAGCTTGTAAAAAATAAACATTCCCATTTAAATATATCTATTTTATTACATTTCTCTTCAGAGCAGAGGCAATTGCAGCATTCTGTGATTGATATTGACTTCGGAAACACTGGGGAGGACTGGGACATACTGTGGAACACTAGGAACGCTGTGGGAGACTTGGACATACTGGGAATGATACTGGGGAGGACTGGGACAACCTGGGAATGCTGAGGGGGAATCTGGGTGGACTGGGAGGTACTATGGGGGCACACTGGGACATACTGGGGGTGAAACTGGGGGATACTGGGACAAACTGGGGTCACTGGGGAGATTGTGGGGAAGACTGAGGGACACAGGAGCGTACTATGGATGACACTGGGGAGAACTGAAAGGGACTGGGAATGAACTCGGGTGCAGTGGAAGGGCCTGGAGGGGCACTGGGGTTGTATTGGGCTGTACTAGGAGGGATTGAAGGGGCTGTACTGGGCGGGACTGGAGGGGGTGAAGGGGCTGTTCCCGCCTCCACCATCTCCCATTTGCGGAAGCACCCGCCCATCATCGTCTCCAGCCAATCAGCACCGAGACTAAGGGCCTCAAGAGCAGTGCCTGCTCCCCGACGCCATCTTTTCTTTTTGCCTACAACTCCCGCCCTGTCCTGCGGTCCGATAGAGCGCCATTGGAGCCGGGACTACAACGCCCATCATGCCCCGTGCTCCACAGACCATGCCCCCTGGTATCCGCCCCCCATCTGTCCCTTAACTTTCTCCCAGACCCTCCAGGATCCCTCACTGCCCCCTCAGCCCCCATTCGCAACCCCCCACAAGCGTCTCCGGATCCCCTGAGTGCTCCCAGCCACACAGATGCCCGGTACGGCCACTTTTGGGAATTCATCTCCTCTCATCCCCCACGGCCCCAGAGCCCCTCAAAACACAGCTCCGGGCCTAAAACTCCTGCTGTGCCCCATGAAATAAATGGGCAGGAGATCTTTCTCCTTTTTAATGCCTTTATTAAGAAGAATCAGCTCAGGTGGGGAGAAATCGATGGGTCGTGCCCACGCCGCCATTGCTCCCTGGCGTGGCATGGAGGAGGAGGGTGATGCAGCTGTGTCTGCTGGTCTGCAGGCAGAGCTGGGGATTTCGTCCTCATGGGAGATTAGGAGATTCCACCTTTTCGGTCCAACACCCCGGTCATTTCTTTAATCAACATCTTTTCAGGTTAGGGTGAGAAGCAAAAAGGATCCAAGCAGGTACTGGACTACGTTCCCATCCTTAGACATCACTTAGGTCACTTAGTTCTATGTTGACTCGTAATTCTTAGGGGTTTCCCTAGAAAATTGCAAAATTCGGGGCGCAATGCATTTCTCGTCTGCATACTGGCTCTGATGCCACTCCCATTCTCCTGGTACCTGGAGGGTCTGTCCCGGTGTCCCTCCCTGGCAAGCATCAGGGGGACAATGGTTAATCACCAACTATTAAGAGGTAATTGAAGAAGAACTCTTAACAATGAAGCTAACTAAACAGCACTGGACTGACTTGTTTTAACTCTGCAACCTTAAAAAAAAATAGATAACTTTTTATTGACAACAGGAGCTGCATTCGAATCAGGGGAGGATGAGCCCTGGGAACCCCAAAAGCCCCTCAGCATGCCTGAGCAGCACCTGGGAGAGGGGGGGATGCCCAGGACCCACGGGCCCTCCAGCAGCTCTGAGAAGAGGAACCCCCATAACCCCAAAGTAAGGACCCTGGAAACAGGGAACCCCTGGGAGAGGTTTTTGGTCTCCTCCTTCATTTTTGGAGGTATTTCTGGCCACCAGACACCCGATGACTTCCAGAGATGGACTTGGCCAGCGGGACCTTCAAAGCTAATGCACTCACATCTTGTTTTTTTCCCCAAATCAGGATTGTCCATTCCCAAACCTCCTCTGGATGTAGGAGAAGGCTGCAAGGAAGCAGAAGATGCCCCGTGACACTGAGCAGGATGCTCCAAGGAGGAAAGACCCAGCTTGTGCCAGGAAGGCAGCCAGAGGTCTGGCTAGAGCTCTGAGATGGTGGTCCATGAGCAGCTTGATGATGGCAAGAAGCCCCACCATTGCTTGGAATGTGGGCAGAGTTTCCTCATGGGGTCCCGCCTGTTGATTATGCACCAGAGGATCCACACTGGTGAGAGGCCCTGTAAGTGCACGGAATGTGGGAAAAGCTTCAGTGTGCCCTCCGCCCTGATTATACACCAGAGGATCCACACTGGTGAGAGGCCCTACAAGTGCGGGGAATGTGGGAAAAGCTTCAGGCAGAGCTCAGCCTGACTGTCCACCAGAGGATCCACACTGGGGAGAAGCACTATAAGTGTCCTGAGTGTGGGGAGAGGTTTCAGAGCAGATACCATCTCCTCAAGCATCAGCAGATTCACACAGAATAGAGGCCCTTCCGCTGCCCCGACTGCGGGAGGGGCTTTAAGAGAAACTCCACTCTCATCACCCACCATCAGATCCACGCTGGGGAGAGGCCCTAAGAGTGTCCCAAGTGTGGGAAGCGCTTCTCCCAGAACTCTACTATGACCCAGCACCAAGGGAGGCAGCAGTAAGGGAAGCCCTACAAGTGCTCCGTGTGTGGGAAGAGCTTTGAGCGCTGCTCCAACTCCATCCCCCACTGGAGGACCCCCATTGGATGGTCCACAGAGAGACTTGGTGATCCATGGTCCTGGTGATTCCTGTTAGAAAGACACCCAGCTGGTGGTCTGCACATCTTCCTGGCTTCCCTTGGACACTTGGACGCAACCAGAGAAAAATGCATTGGGATGCAAACCGACATCAGAATTTCATAGGGGACAGCAGTTTTTTACTTTTGACCCCAAAAAAATCTCACCATTTGCATCCAATAATTTCTTCAGGTGGCATCAAGGAATACTGGATGGTGTTGGAGGTCTTTTCCAATCAAAATCATTCCATGATTCTAATTCTCTCTAGCCCATAGGCATTTTTCACAGCCAAATGGTGATGGACTGGAGCAAAACCACAAGATTTTGGAGACAGTGGAGTGGAAATTCCTCTAGAAAAGGTTCTACCCACCCAGGCACATGGATACTCAGCCAGCATGGACACGTAAACCACCTTCATCTCAGCCATGGCAAAGCTCTGCCCGATGCAGTTCCTGCCACCACATCCCCACTGTCAGTGTCACCCCACTGTGAACCCAGCCAGGGACAGGGGTGGCACTTGGGGACACTCCTGTCCCCACTCCACCACATACCTGGGGCCAGCAGAGAAGGGGATGAAGGATGACGGGGACCGTCCCTTGCTGTTCTCCAGGCTGAACCTCAGAGGGTTGAACACCTGGGATGACACCAGCAGTCACACTAAGGGGACACAGCTTTCACCACCATTGTGACAGGGACACATCATAGGGCAGCCCTACCTCAGGCTCAGGCCAAAGGTCTGGGTTGTGGTGCGTCCCGTAGATGCTCATCAGGCAGATAACTCCTGGTGGGATGGGAATGGCCACTTTAGGGACAGCAGATGAGGGCGGCTGGTGACACTGGGGACATCCTGGCCGTGCCATACCCTTGGGGATGGCACAGCCATCGTGCAGAGGGATGTCCTCGGTGCAGCCCTGGGACACAGCAGTGACAGGAGGGTGCAGCCACAGGCATTGGCATTGGGAGCGATGGCAAAGCACAGAAATCCTTTCACATTGTGGCCTTGAACCCTTGAAATAACAGGGTTGGGTTTCTCCTGAAGGAAATCTGAATGAATCCTGTCAAACTGATCACTGGATTCCTGTGTTCCACAGCAGTTTTCTTTAACTGTCCCTTCACTGACTCCATTGCGACTCAGAGCCCATTGACAGAGTTCTGCCACCCCCCAGGGTGGGCCCTCCAAGGGAATCCCATTCCTCTCAACATTAGTTGAGAACATTTCCAACAATTAGTTACAATGAGTATTTTGGCTGCTTTGACCTTTAAGTTTTCTAAGAATTTTATGACCAATCCCTGGGTGAAACTTAAGAGGTCTTTCTGGTCATCTTGGAGCCAACTGCTGTCTTTCTTAAGTGTCTTAAGTATTTTTCTGCACTCCAATGAGATTGGTGCTCTCTAGTATTTCTCTCATCATTTTTTGGGAACTCTTACTTGTCCAGAAGGAGTGACTGCCTATGCACCAGGGTGAAGTCTAGCTTATGATGCTTCACTTAACTGACCATCCTTTGCACCATATTCCAGCCTAACAGCTGCTACACTGATCTCTTCCTGTGGAACCAACATGTGGATGCCTTTTTCTGCAGCCTCTTTAGCTGCCCTGTCAGCCAAGTCATTTCCCTATTTTGGCCCTATTTTACTTTGTGTTTGGCCCTATTTGTCTGGTGTGTTCTACAGTGCAGAATTGCAACTTCAGCTGGTTTATGTACCGCTTCCTGCAGGTGTAATATTTGTGTGCCGTGTTTGATCGATGAACCTCGTGCTGATAACAAACCTCTCTCTCCAGACTGCCCCATGGGCAAGGACTACACAAAAAACATACTTAGAATCCATCCAGGTGATCAATTTCTTTCTTTCTCAGTTCCCACACCCAGTTGAGAGCAACCAGTTTGGTCTTCTGCGCTGGAACACCTGATGTTAGAGCCTTGGATTTAACTCCTTTGTTCAGCCTAGTCACTGCAAACCCAGATGTGTTTTCCCTTGTGAACAAAGCTACTTCTGTCCATGTATAGCTCCCAGTCTGGGTTCTCCATCGGGCTCTCCTTCAAGTCCGGCTGGCTGGAATCAACTCCTTTGGTTGCTTGCAGGCAATCATGTTCTGGAATACTTTGGAGGCCAACAGAAACACAGCTGGATTAACAACAGAGGTGGTTCTGAGGGTCCATTAGTTCCACTTGGTACCTGAGGAATTGGCTGGTGTCTTGGGTTGGAAAGATAGCTTTGTGCTAAGGAGGCCAGGCGCCTCCCCTGAAATGGAAAAATGTAAACCCCCTCCCTCCAAATTGTTATAAATTTGAAAATAAGGTGCTCTCAGGCAAAGATATGGGAGCAGGAATAACAGTTCTTTATTAGGGAAGAAAATAAAAAGATAAAATAAACAATGCAGTAAAACAAAACAACACTGACAGAGTCAGAGCCCAACCTGACACTCTGTGGGTCAGGGTGTTGGTAGCAGTCCAATTGGAATGGTGGCTGCACTCCTCCTGGAGTGTCAGGTGTGGGTCTGTTGGAGCAGTGATCCTGTAGCAAAGGGTGGAGTCTTCCTCTGAAGATCCAGTAGAGACAGCTGTTGCTCTGGGAAATCCAGTGGAGAAGCTGTCTTGCTGTCCCAAAAATCTCAGGTTATATCCGCTTAGGATGCTTGGCTCCTCCCTCTGGGCGGAGCATCTCCCAATGAGATGATGTAATTCTATTAGTAACACTCAATGGCTCATTAACAGCAGGTGTCTCCCTGGAGGGAGGATTGGTTTGTGGAAGAGATAAAGAGAAACTGCCCAATAACAGAAGATAACTGGCACACCTTTAACAGATGGCAAATAGAATACATCTTGCCTTGCAGTCTGGGACAGCTGGGGACAGCCAGTGGCCTCCCTTTTGTTCCCAGCCCGTGGGTACCGACTGTGGTACACAGCTGTCAGGCTTTGTCCCAGAGGCAATCTAGGAGCTTCCTGAATTGACAGCACTGTAGCTGTGACTGCTCACAAGCAGCTGAGCCATCCTTGGCACAAGTGAATAATTCAAAAGACCTTGTGGGATCTGGCAAGCCTAAGCTGGAGCCCTCATCAGTGCTTTCTGGTTTGAATGAAGCGGCATTCCCAAAACTTCATCTCTGCATTCAATTTTCACACTAAGTTTCCTACTAATAAAGGTTTCGGAGAGATAGGCAAGTACAAAAATTGATGGGTTATGCATAATTTTCCCAGTTTGAATTTGTTGAAGGAATGGGAGGAATGTGTCTTTACAAACTGTGAGTCTGCCTCTAGATAAAAGCTGATACTGGCAGGTGAAAGAAGCAACAGGAGGAACCACACATTTCAGAGGAATGCTACTAATTGACACAGACTGCTAATTATCCAAGACCGTGTTAAATCCCTGGACTTAGAAAAGAAGAACAGAAGTACAAAGAAAAAGAGGGGTGCATATTAGGAGGGGATATGTATTGGGTGATTTGGGGAGTCTGTACCTCTCAAGTACCTGAGCCAATGGGGAAAGACAGAGGGTGATGTGGATGGGAAAATAGTATTGAAAAGGAGGCTGTGTCCTCAAAAAATTGGAGAGACCCCAGGGTAAACGTGTCATGGCCTCTCCCTTTATTAGAATAAAGTTACAGGACCCTTTTGTCTCCTTTTTGGACATAAACCTCTGGCACTGTGAAGTTTGCATTGCACAGCTGGCTTGAAAAACGGGTGTGTTTCACCAGTCCCAGTGGTACTGACAGTTGTGATGGAATCATCACTTCCCTTGCAGGGTATTTCACACAAAATAGCCAGCTCCTGTGCCTACCAAAACTCCCAGTTTTTCCTTTCCCAGTGTGGCTGTTACCACAGGCTCTGCTGGGGATGAAACCTCTGGTCCCCTTCACAAGTATTCAGCTATTGCCATGAGGGGGTTTGGAGAAGTCCTGGGTTTTAGGTGAGGACACTTCTGCTTCCAATGTCCATCTCTTTTACAATATGTGCATAGATTTGTTCCCCATCTTTCTAATGAAGGTCGAGGAACTGAACCCCTTCCCCTGCCACGAGACCCACTCCCCCCTTCCTCCCTGGGAGCAGCAGTGCTTTGCTGATTCCTTTTTCTTCAGCTGGAATTATTTTCTATTTAGTCACTTCCAGCTGGTTTTCCGTGGATTTGTATGTGCTGCCCATGCAATGTCAAGCAGTTTAGCCATATCAAAAGCATCTGTTTCCTGGATTTCCTGTAGTTTTGTTCAAATATCACAAAGGACTATGCTATGCAAATAAGAGCCAGATGACTTTTACCTTCCTCCTGAACTTTCTTTTACCTTTATTGCTTTCTAATCTGTGCCTGCAGCCAGCCTTCTTAGTCCTCTCTGCACTGGGCTTTACAACTTCATTTAAACCTTCTTTCTCTTGCTAACCTAAATGCGTAGAGCAGATGTGTCCAATGCTACACATTCAACATCAAGATTTAGGGATTTTCTCTTTATTTTCCTTCTCTAAAGCCTAAAAAAAGGATCTGAAGGTGCTACATTAATATCACAATACTTTTGCTATTCAGGGTGATTTCTCAAAATGAGAAACATTTCAGTTTACATGACTTAATTTAATTTTGTTCTCAATGCAAGAATAACATCAGTTGGAGCAGAATATTATTGTCCCACCACCCATTGTTCGCTGTCATTTTCACCAGCCCGTTCCATCCTTCCATCTTTCCAGAGGCCAGTCCATCACAGGGGATGTCATAAATCCACTCAGTGCCTCCCTCTTGGCCAGGTGTCTGTTGTTTTGGAAATGAGTCCCACACTCTGATTAAATTCTTTCATGGGGCACCATGTGCCCATAACACTCATTTTCCAAG